AAAATTTCCTTGTTTAGATAATGGAAAAATTATAATATTAATTGAAATTTTATCCTTTATAAAATGTTACCTTTTATGTTATACAATAATTTTGTATAAAAGAAATTTTATTTCTTAAAAGATAATTATTATTGTAACAGTAATTTGTATATACTCGTATGTATGTAAAAACAAAATACCCAATAATTTGGAATTAAATTACACTTTATAAAATTTGTTTCCTTAAATGTTTTTCTTTTTTTCGTTTGAAAATTTTAAAGTAATTACAGCATATTTTTTAATTATATTGAATGAATTCAGAAATAAGGTACCACTATGCACTTATCATAGATTTAAGTTTAAAATACATTACGTATAGTAGTTGAATTCACAATTAAGTAGTAGTTAATAATGTTATCTAGCACTTGTATTCTGCGATTGTTTTGTAAATTTGTCTAAATAGGTAAATCGGAAATCATTTTAACGAAATATGGCGATCACGTAATGTCATTTTCTTCAACTATTTTTTTTTTGCTGTTTTTTGTGAAGGGGAACGAGGCTCTTAGACCCCTCTCACGACGACCCATAAAATCTTTTGTAATTCCTATCCCTACCTAAATTAACACTATACCTATGCCGTTGGCAAATAGCAGTTTCAAGCTGCGAGACCTCCATCGGAGCAGCATCTCAGTCGTAGGCGAGCCACCTCACATCCAATTCACATAATGAGTGCTCCAGCATTTCGTCCTCTTTCAAGCAGAGAAGGCAACCTTTTCGGATGGACCATCGGGATACAGTGTCAAATGAGTACACCCACCAACAGGCTCAAATCGGGACGACCAAATATTGCCAGTTCCCGTCCACCTCGATGCCAAGTGATATATAAATTTTTTGAAATAAGATAGGCCCGGAAAATTTTCCTAATGATCGACCCTAGCCCATTCCCTCCAACCATTTAAGGCTATTGAAAATGCCCTTTTTTAAATTAGCCAGGAATCCTATTTGAAAATTTTTAATTTTTTTGCGCATCATGCTGGTACCGCATTTGGATTTTAAACCCAGAACAGTGGTATTAATGAATATTTTGCAATGTTAGAAATTACAACATTTTAATTTCAAAATTCTTAAAAAAAAATCTTTTAAATAGCATTCTTCCAAAACCATTTTTATTTCATTACGATTCAGTTACTAATCGATTTTAATTATTAATAACTATAAATTTAGATTTTTATCATAAATATCAAATCACTACTATAAATTATATAGATTAAATGACTAATTTATTAATCCAAAATGAGATTTAAAAAAATTGTTTTTTTTTTTGTAATTAAAAATACACATAGCATGCTATAGGGTTACACTAACTGTTACTTGCTTTTATTTGCTTCATTTGGTATCCTGTAAGACCCCGAAGACGAATTAAAAACAAAACTTGTTTAAATTAGTTCTATGCACTGAGTTTATTTTCGGTTCAACAGTAATAACAAATGTGTGAGCTAGATTTGGAAAATTTGTGCTTGTCATGTGGGTACCACTATCTGTACGAGGTTGAAAATCATCTGATTCATTCGTTTACGCAGCAGACGGAAAAACAAGAAATATTATACTCGTATATCTCGAAAAGAACGAGAACAAATGAATAAAATTATATGTAGATTCTAGCAACAGTAAAATGTATAACATAAATTTTCGATTTGCAATAGTTGTGACTTATAGCAGCGGCAGTATACTGTAGAACATGTGTTAATAATTTGCTTTGAAAAGTAATTGGGTTATAATTATTATTATATTTCAAAAGCAACATTGATTATTTCTGTGTAAAATAAGTTTTTATTTTTATAAAAATTATTTTTTAATTTTAATTAACTACCGTTCTTTTGCAATAATAATAAAACATTCTATATATGGTTCATTAAATCACTACTATTAAATTCATTTAAAATTTTTATTAATAATTAGATTAAAAATTTTTTGTAAAAAGAATTTAAATTATAAAAATATTAAAGATAATAATTATTATAGCATTTTAAAAACCGTAATAATAATAATAATATAATTTATGATAATAGGTGCTGCTAGTTTATAGAATGAAAACAGGTCGAAAATTTATTAGTATATCATATAATGTTTATTTGCAAATAAAATTAAATAAAGGCAACGATTTTGAATAAAAAGCAACTTTAAGTTGATAATGATAATTACTAATTAAAAAATATTGAAACATTGAAAGTAGAAATATAGTTTAATATTATAGCTCATTCAAATAAATAATTTGAAATAGTATTATTAGTTTATCACATGTATTATAACAGTATTTTAACATTTGATACTACACAATATTATAGCACACGCTTAACTCGGAATCCATTGAGAATTCGGTTCGAAAAATTATTTATATTCGTTCGGGAATAATTAGGGATCCGCACGAATTTCATTATACAATAAAATATAACAAATGAATTACGAACTTGCGCATTTCCTGAAATGTCTTTCATCTAGCTTTATTCAATAAATTCCGAACGACAGTAAATTACGGATTCAATAAATTTAAATCCGTTCGTGTACATTTGGCATGGGAAATCGTGTATTAACAAAATTTTCTGAAAAAAAAACGAGTATTTGATGAATAGAAATTTGATATCAAATATTTTACTTAGACTGTTATTCACGTCATAGCGTATATTAAATGATTTAAAAGGCGGCAAATTTCTTTTTAATAATAATTTATTACACATATTAAGTTAATGAGAATCGTATTTTAAATTAAAATCCGTAAATTTTTTTGTAATGAATAGATTCAAAAGCTCATCATATTTTTTATACCCGTACGGACGTGTTTCCGAAGGGTATTATAAATTTGTGTTACCGTATGTAACAGTAAAAAATAATGGTCTAAGATATACACACAAGTATATATTTTTGATCAACGATGAGTTCTGATTTAGCCATGCCATTTAGTTTAGCTAAGCTCACCCTATTATAACAAATAATTTATAACATTAAATGCCACAATCCTATTTTAAATTGTATGTGATCGAAATATTAGTTCGGGTAGGTTCGGCCCGAATATCTCAGAAATTATGGAAACTATAATATAAAAATTTCGCGCAAACAAATATATTATTGCGGCTGTTTAATAAAACTAGTTGACTACAAATCTTCATTCCTACGGGTATTACAGAATTGACAGAGGCAACTCTACATATTCTTGCTTTTTTTTGAAATTCCAATTATTACAGATATTAGATTACCTATGCAACATGGAGGAATATTTTTTTTTAAACTCATTTCTCCATTACATTGTGGTTTAAAGACATTGTTTAAATAAAATTATGTTTGAGCAGTTATCATAAAGTTTATGTTTTTATATTATTAACAATATAATATTAAATTACATGGTATTGTAATTCACAATATTTAAAGTTGAAAATTTTATATAAATTGCATATTTTAAACAGTATTGAATTTATTGTGTAGGCGTTATAATACGAAATAGAAGAAAATTTAATTTAAAAGTAATTTCAATTCATTTTGTATTACATTAAAATACCATTATAAGAATAATGACTAGCTAGCTATACATGTAAAAATAATTTGAATTAAATTCTTAATTTAAAATAAATTTTGTAAAGATTCTTTTTTTGTTGCTATTCTAGATTTTCTAATAAAAATTTAAATAATTTCTTTCGCTTATAGCGCGTTGAAAATTTATTATTATAAAAAGAACATCATTTCCATAAAAACTGTTTTTACAAGCACTCGTAATCTAAAAAAATTTATTAAATATAAAATACTGTTCAAATAATAGATTATATGTAAAGTATATTCCAGCTAAAGTATATTCTAGTATATTAATTTTAAATTTGACGTACAAAATTTCTAATTACACCAATAATTTTATGAGACAGCTGTCTTTAGTGTGAGAGCATTCAAAATCTCAACTACAAATAGCCTATATACCTTTGCGTAAAACAGTTATACTAAATTTCACCAAAGCTCGAATATTAATTAAAATTTATTTCAATTTTTTATTGGAGCTTAACAGTGGCTATGTTTATTTCCCATATTACCTTTAACAAAATTTGAATTAATGTACTTAAGAAACGAATAACTCAATTATAACATCAATTTTTAAAATATGTTATGAATTATGACAAATAAGAAGCAAATGGCCTCAGTTCGGTAAATCATTGAGTTTTAACTATAGAGATAATTTTTTTTCCTTTCTTCACTCCTAGGGGGAGTATAGGGCTAGTAAGTACATGATATCGTAGGTAGCTATGCCCCAGATTCATGGTGTCATAGAGTTTTCAACTGGGTAGGTGACTAGCCTGCCGTATTTTTTTGGTAGGTGCAATAGGTAGATGATTAGCCTGCTGTAATTTTATTTTTTATTAAATATTAAAGGTTCTTGATGAAACATAATTATAACAAACAAAATTATATCGACTGAAAAGCGCACGAAGGTGACCTTTCTTGTTATTAAATCACAACATTAATTTTCAGTGGGAGTGATAAATTTAGTTCCCCTCTTCGTAAACTCTTCAAATATCAATCGAACCTTTAAGTACAAAGTACAGCGCCCTTTTAGTGGAAAACTTTCTTCCGTGTACTCTCCACAGTTGAACTCTTTTTAGTATTCCGATAATTTTGATTCTGTAACGTTTTTAGTAGGTCTTAATAAATACAACGATAGTGATAATATCAGAAATCGCGATTTCCTATAACACTTTGTAAATACAAAAATATGCAAATATTTGTTTGATTCCAAAAGAAAATCACTATTTTGTCCCCAAAAAACATTTTGTTTTTCATTTCATTTCATTTTAATCCCCAAAAATAGAATTTAAAATCTAATAACCTAGTAACTATCATTGATTACCCACGTAATTTTATTTAAACATTTTTCTATCTCTTTGTTTTAATTCCGTTCACTTACACTACAAATTATTCACTACCTACAAAAAAAAAGAGCACCAAACAAATTTTGTTTTTTATTTTAATTTTTTCTTTTCTTTTACCTGTAACAACTTCCTTTTCTTCGACTTCATGTAATCCATTCAAATATGTTTCTAGAAGATAATTTTTTCCATGTTCCTTTTCTCGATTTTTATGCCGCTCCTCTTCAATTTTCGCAATCTGAAGCTCTCGATCTCTACTGGGTCAAATTATTTTTATTTGCATGTTTTATTGTTGTGTTGTTGTTATTAAGTTTTTGTTGATGATTTTATTATTGTTATGTTGTTTGAGTATTATTGGTATTATTGGCATTATTGGTATTATTGGGTATATTATTGATATTGATTGTTTTGTTTTTTTTTTAGGTAATATTTATCCAGTAATTTAAATGGTAATGATGAGTAAATAAAAAAGCGACCATGGATTTTCATTGCACCATAATAAAGGTGAATGGGTAATGAGGAAAAATAAAGAAAAAAGAAAAAAAAAATTAGTAAGCTTACAAGATTAAAAATTAAAAAGTTTTTTATATTTGTTTTTCTTATTTGACTAAATAATAATTCTTTATACAGATTACGTAAAAATTGAAAAAGATTATCAGAAGATTTCAAAAAACTACAATTAATTTTTTACTTTGTATAGTTGAAAATCTAGTAGTAGAATTTGAGACAATTGAAATTTTAGTATTGAAAAATCGCCTTCTATTATTGGTTCTATTTTGTAATAAATGATGGTTTTGAAATTGAATCTATTATGAGATTTATGAGTTATACGTAATTTTCTATTACGACTCTGTGTAAAAATAGTAGAGAACAATGAAATTACGTTTCGAAACCTTTAAAAGACAAGTTTAAGTGGTTTTGCGAAACCTTAGTTGCCATGAAACTAATTTTGACACCATGTTACAAAATAAGAGCTGTAGCTTTTAAATAGTCTTAATGATTTGACTCTTATCGGCATGGTCTTCATATTGAAAGAGGCACCTGTTCTAGCCAGTTGTTGACTAATTTCATTTTCAATGGGTTCATCAATCTGAATAATATACAAATACCTATTTGTGTCAAATTTCAATTACTGACGGTTCTACATATTTTCAAATTAACGTTTTAGTTTTATAGTTTGATCTACATCTCGATTCTGGAGCAATAATTTTTATAAAACTTTAAAGGGTTGCATGAACTCATGAGTGTCGTAGTGTGATGGTCGATATCCCGCCAATTTGTTAAGTTGACTCAAAAGTATGTTGTTCAAAATCATCTTATTGTGATATTTTATTTTATATTTCATTGGGCCAACACTAAGACTAAGAAGATTACAGTGATCATCAGTGGGTATTGCGAATTAGACTTCATTCTCAAAATTCAGTTAAGAATAATAATTTATTTTTGGAACTGCTTTAAGGTGTACCTACCAATCAGTATAAATAATAATTTCATGGTTCATAAATTTTTTTTTCAAAATTTTCTTAACTAAATATACCATCATTTACTTATACAGATTCGATTTCATAAAACAGATTGTAAATTTCTTAAATAAAATTGAATTCTTATTTCTGATTTTCTTATTTTTCAATTAAATTTTCTGCAAAAATAATTGATTTTCGATTTAATTCGTTTTTCGTTCAATGAAAAATGAGAAAAATTTCTAGTACACAGCCATAAGAAAATTACATAGTACCTAAATAGCTTCTAAGCCTCTTTTCCTACTGTCTATTAGAATAATTTATTTTCTTGTTCCACAATTCAACATCTTAAACAGTGTAATAATTTATTACAAAATATTTTTGAAAAAATAAAATTTTTTTTTTACCTTAATTTAGCCAATTGTTGTTGTATTGTTTCACCTTGCTCTAAAATCAATTTCATTAATTTTTCAATTTGAGTTTTTTGTGATTTTGGATGCATTGTATTTGCTTGTGTTACCCAAGCTGCTGTAGATTTTGATGCCCGATGTTTACGTCGTCTCATTATTGCACTATTTGAACTACCAATTGGACTACCCATACCACTATCTTTATCATTATTATTACTATAACATGATGTATCAAGTGTTAACGATGAATCAATTTGACGTAATGTTAATTTGACCTAAAAAAAAAAAATATTTGGAAAATAAATTTAGTTATAAATTGTGCATAATGTTACGGTCGCTGTATAACAATATAAATTATAGTTCGTTTAACAACAATTTAATTTATAAAGTTTGTGGAAATTAAGAAATAAATAAAAATTTAAATAACTCAATTGAATTTAGAAAAAAACTTGTCGCAATTTACAGAACTTGAGTAAAATATTATGCGGCCTAATGTAAGATTTTCGATAATTTTTTTTTTTTTGAAAGAATAAAATGTGAATCATGAGAATTTTTCAATTTAGTTATGCATATAAGATGGGAAATTTTGAATTACTTATTATTTGCATCTTACACAATATAAATTTAATTTCCTTGGATAATAAATTAAAATGTTCAATGAAAATAATTGCGTATAAAGTATATCTATGAGTATAAGGCAGTGATTTTAAATTATTAATAATACTTTCGCTGATAGTGTGTAGTACCTTCAAAGTAAATCTGTAAGAAATTTCGATCAAAAATCACCGGAATCATCATATAATCGACACAAAGGCATATTGTCTACTTTAGCCAAAGTACTGCACAAGATTGTGACAAAGCCTTTCAAGAAATTCCGCCAGTTATTTTCTTAGAAATAGTAACATCGGTCCTAGTTCGGTTTCTGACAGGCATGTCTACATCCCGTTAAAAATATTTTATTTATGCATCCTTACTGTGGAGAAGTGATTTTTCACCGAAAACCTCATTTAATGTATGCAATGCAGTCAATAAAAGTCCTGTTCACTAGAGCGCAACATCTTTTTTGTTTTCCAAATTATTTTATTTCATAGCCGTATAACTTTCAAACCATTTTTTTGTTGAATAGATCAATATACTACGAATTCCACAGGCAGATTTAACACAAACATGATACTACTTAAAGAACTACTAAAAATTCAAGTAACAAAACGGAAAATAAAAGAACAAAACCAGTCTAAACACCTTCTTACAATAAATTGTCATTATAAATATTATTTATTGCAAAATAATTATTTGTAATCCGCTATTATAATAGATGAAGATCAGCTATAAAAATAGTGCATCTGGTTATATAATAATTATTAAATAAGGCAGCTTAAATTCTAATTATTTGTAATTTATCGCCGTTACATAATAATTTAAAAAATTGTTAGAAATCTAACTGTTATTAAAAATATTACAAAATGTACTAGAAAAATTTTTTAATGATCTTTTATTATAGGTGGAAAGAATTTATCACCATACGAGCACATCTATGGAACAAAAATTTATATTAAATTATTTCCAATTCCACCGACCATTCCGCGGTTAAAAATTACATCCACACAAATTTCTAGCCATGTTAAATCTTTATGAATCTAAAATATTACTAAACCACTCAACTGACTGTTATTAAAAAGCATTCTTATAGGAAGGATCTTGAAGCATCCTAAAAGGGGAAATTAACATTTAAACGAACTGAAGGTGTAAAAGCGTATCTAATAAATTTTATTGAAAAACAGAATGAAAATCGTTAGTTACGGCCATATGCTTCACGCTGCATGCATAAAAGTCACATAACGCATGTAAGCCCTCAAAGAATTCAATAGTCCAAATGGCATTGAGACGGGTTTTGTTTGTAATTCCGTGACATTATCTCATAGACGGGTTAATTTTCCTAATTAACACAAAGCATTGCATCAGTTCAGTATGCATTCGGTATAACGTTGCTCTATGATTTCTATGTCGTACCAGTTTATGAATATTTCAATACTTTTGCATTAAAATTGTTTCCTATTATTAGGAAACAATATAAAGAATAACCACACACAAGCAAAAACAAGTTACTGGAATTTTCATAACGCGTGCCTTTCTTCATTAATATTTTTGAGATCATTAAACTATATAAAAATTATTATGTGCTGAGATACACAGTTAAATGAAACTATATTGAAGAGAAGATGAAAAGTATCAAAGGTAAAAATTCCATGTACTCGGAAAAGTATAGAAAACGAAGTTATTTTCAATTTCATTTGAAATAATTTACGCAATTTTTCTTTCACATCTTGCCAGTTTCTTTGCCAGTAATCACATATAATACCTTTCTTCTTCCTGAAAAGACTTATTAGAAGAGTTACAGAAAAAAAATAATAATTTCAGTCCGGTTTCTCTTACATATTTTCAATATTTCATTATTTCTCTTTTCTTTAATTTTTTAATTACGTTTAAGCACGTGAAAAGATAACGATTATTAAACGGAATACCAACAAAATGGTCAATCATTAAATCGTCATTATTACGTCAATGGATTACAAGATGAGAAATTGCGTATTATGATCGAAAAAACAAGTAAATAATTTTTAGACCTATTTGGCTACTGGAATTCATTTAAATTAAATAACAGATTAAATAACATAAAATCTAGTGATTTCTAGTATGTTTTAGGCGCTAAGTAACATACTAGATTAGATTTATGAAAATGATGTTGATAACTGTACGTAGCATTTAGGTAACAAGTAGATAACAAAAACATTACAAGTAATGTATAGCGATTAATAGTTTACAAAATAAATTAATGTTGAATTAATAATGGAAAATAATATTATTGGAATATTGATAAAAGATCATGGAAACAAGATCTATTTGTAACTAATCAAAATATTTTCGCATTTGAAGCGCATTGATGAAATTTGCTTGTAAGCTCATCACGGCATTACGCTGTTCTGTATTTCAAGTCACAAAAATATAAAGGAAAACGCTAAATAGGAATGGATTCAGAATTTCTCAACTAAGGAAAGATTTCTGTCTTTCATTGCCGAAAAGACCCCTGTCCATATCCGAGTGATACTAAACCAATGTAATAGCAGTATGAGTCGACCATTAATCAGTAGAAAAATATCAAACTACGTTTGGACTTCCATTTTCCTAGTTGTTAATATTGAGAATTAGATTAAAAGGAAAACAATTTGTCACTATCTCTGCGAGCATTTACTTGCCGACAGAGCATACTCTTATGTATCCCAGATGTATATGGGGTATGTTCCTAGAAAATGTAGAGAGGTGAGGCCGGTTTTTGTGCCGACGCCTGGTAGGAATGGTCATGTCAGTGCGAGGGATTTCCGACCAATCAGGTTGTCGTCCTTCGTGCTGAGGACCATGGAGAGGTTAGTAAATAAATATATAAGGAATGAGGAAAAGGATTCGGGTCTGTGAAGATGGCGCTGCACACGGTGGTCACACAGATGAAGATGTCTCTATAGTACAAGGAGTATACTTTGACTGCTTTCTTGGATGTTGAGAATGCTTTCAATAATATGAAGGTTGAAGCTATCGTAAGGGCTCTTGAGGTAGGGGTAGAGGAAGGTATAATCAGATGGATAGGGCAAATGCTTACTACGAAGGTGGTAGTGGTTGAGTGGGGCTTAAGTAAGGTGAGGATGTTGTCGGTGAGAGGCACCTTCAGAGCCATGGGGAATTCATTAGGTTCAGGGGGGATAGCGGTTGCCGAGTTACTGCCAATGCGGATAATGTGGTTTCGGGTAAGTATACGGAAGTAATGAGGGGTCTTGATAGACTGGATAACTGTGGAGGGAAAACATAAAAGATAGGGCAAGGAGTGCCAAGAATGGCTGGTAGGCGTTAGGGAGTGAGCCCTCGGCTGCTCTACTGGTTGTATGAGCGTGTGGTTAGGCCTATTCTAACGTATTTGGCATTGGTCTGATGACCAGCGGTTCGTTGGAATAGGGAGAGAAGGAAGTTGGAGAGGGTGCAGCGTATGACGTCTGTTGGGGTGACTGGTGCAATCGACTTGGATGCGGTGAGTGAGCATGTGAAAGCGGTGCCTACTAGGAGTGCCTTGAGGCTACAAGCGATAGGTATGCTGAAAAACAGGGAATACACACACAGTGGGACCCTGGGAGAATATGGAATTCGGCCTATGTACATTAGATCTGACATTGTGGTGCCACATATCAACTGGAGAGTTGATTACGAGGTTGTAGTTCCACAAAGAGAGGATTGAAGTACGGAAGGGCTATGCATGCATAAGGTGTTGTCCATCTATACGGATGGTTCTAGGTCCCCACGTCCATCTATTCGGTTGGGTTGTTTTTGGTGTGTCGATGCAGGAGGGCACTTTGGGCACTTTGCGTGCAGGATGACTGTGTTTTGCGTTCCCGGTCACAGCGGGATACGGGGTAATGAGATGGCCGATCGTCCTGCGAGGGCTGGGGTGGGCGGGGGCGCTGACATTGTGGATGGGTCGGTGCGTCTATCGCTAGGAGCTTATTTTAACGTCGTAGATGGTAAGTGTAGAAGGAGGAGTGGGGTCTTGTGGGCGGAGGATCACACGTGTAGAGTAGGATTGGCTACGATGGATGTATGTCGTAGATGTGGGGATGTGGCGGAGATGAAAGATGTGGAGCACGTTCTCTGTACCTGTCCGTTTTTAATGAGGAAGAGAAAGCATGTCTTGGGGGTTTGTTTTTATAGTGGCCTGAGGGACCTGTCCGCGATATCTCTCGCGCGGCTTTTGGGCTTCGCAAAGGAGGTTGGCTGATTTGGATAAGAAGTCTGGTGGGTTAGATTGCATGGGGGCTGTTGGGTGTTAGTTTTGGGGGTTAGATGGACCTTTTCTGTTGGACTAGTGCATGAGCTTCGCGTGGGTGTGCGGGTGGAGACCCCCTCCCTTTTACTGCTACTACTACTATGGATCAGTGACCTAAGAAAAATAATTGGAATCACACTCTCAGTATATCTATAACTTTGTGAGAGGCTAGATTTTTAGAATGTGAGGCCTCTGTAAGTGACTCGGGAAGAAATTACGTTTAATAAAATTCTAATAATGACATAATGTCTAAAATTTTCTTATAATACCATGTTTTTGAAATTGCATTTTATCATACTGATTTTTTGTTGAATTTAGTTTCCTCTTTCCACTAAAACATTTTCAATGGAATGACAATTTTTTAATAGTCTATCCCACAAAATATAAACAGTTAATCTTCAGGCATAATCA